AGACGAACCCACTGTGCGACCACACAGCACTTTCCCGGTGTTCAAGCCAACGGGCAAGAAGGACAGTTGCCTCCTCGATCGCCGCCACGGTCAGCCTAGCAAGAACTCTATCCCTCAAAGTGCGCCCAAGAGTCCGAGCACGCGTTCCCGAAGCCACCTCTGTAGCAGTGCGAGTCCGCGCAGCCGCATCCACAAGTTGCACCTGAACCGAGCAGCAACTTGCCAACATGTAAAATGCTTGCACAGATTGGCGCTGAGGTGACGGCTGCGCAGTCTCCGCACACGACCCGATGCCCACATGGTTCCAAGATGTATCTGTTCAACACATTGAAAACATGCTGTCACATACGTGATGCAGAAGTTGATCGAAGTGCTCCGACAAAGAAGCCTGGAGGGCTTATCGAGGCAGACGAAGCAGGGCGGAGCAAAGGAAGTGGCAGCTCCTTTGTCATCTTTGCCCTGCCAGCAGAGGTGACATGTCACCCCCATCTGCTAAAATACAAGAGCCGATCGGTCCTGCAATTTGTCAGCTTTTCCAGAATCCGTGCGATTCGGACGTTCGGCACCCTTGTAGTCCTTCTGCTTGGGATCCCGAGATCCTCGTGNNGTGGTACCTGCGACAAAGACATCAGAGTACGGTTCTTCTGCCAGAAACTGCTGCGCGCTCCTTTCGAGCGTGAGGCGAATGGAAGGCGTTCCAATGCCCTGCTCAAGACCTTCGAGGGTAAAACCGTTGCTGCGGCTAGGCGCTCTTTTAGCTACCTCATGCCATGATGTCCCATCGAAGCATCAGCCAACAAGGCCTTGTTTCCAACCGCTCGTCTGAAGCTCCTGCAGCTGCGGAATCATGGCGCATGCGGCTTTCCCTGGCAAAGGCAGGTCCTGACAACTCTGAGATTGGAAGTCGTGTTCCACAGATCGCGGGCGAGCAGAAGCAAAGGGACGGGCCTCAGGGCAATGAATACCTGCCTTCCGAAACTTGGACCATGTCTCCTTCACCTCGACAGCTGTGATCCTGACGACGTAATGGCTGCCAGCGATATGCAAATGAACGCTGCCCCCAGGATTGGGTTGGCGGTCGGGACCGTAGTGACCTGCCAGACGCAAGAGGACCCCTAGACTCTAAACATCTCCACACCAGAAGCATCTGAACTCGGAGCTCCATGCCATATGCAGCCGAGAGTCCAAAATCGCAGGGGGGGAGAAGAGGGACCGGGTCAGGAAAAGCAAGATGCTGCTCAACAGACCTCGTGGTAAAGCTTGGACCAGTTTATTGTCTCAGCGAGCTAGTCGTTCTCCGACTTGATACCCCACACAACCACGCTGGTTTCGGCGAAGTTTTTGCAGCTGCGGAACTGACCAGCAAGCGTCCAGGTTGAACGATAAGGCAACGAATGCCAGAAAACATGACCTGAAAGCTACAAAGGCATAGCAGACCTCAGCAGCTGTCTGAGGCTTTGCTTCCAAGCGACATTAATCATGATGAAGCGTGGCATTGTGACCATGAACTCGAAGACACACAGCGACGGAGTGCACCTGATGTTGACATGCACCGTGCAGAGACCCTTGACATGGACGCTTCGACGACAAGACGTCTGTGCGACCCAAGGCTCGCAATCAGAATCCCCACCCAGGAAGGATGCACAATTCCGCTGCAAAGATATCCACCATTACCTGTTCGGCTCTGCAACGTTCTCCACACACTGACGAATGGGTCTGCTCTTCCTGTTTCCAGCCAAGATGCCCTGCAGCGCGTCACTTTCAGCAGCCTCGCCCGGGCCCAGCGCCTGACAGCGACATCTGAAGGCAGCATGGCAGCCTGCAGCCGCAGCGGCCGCTGGCATGTTCACTCAGCATGCCCCGGCCGTGTGCACCGCGTATGTCAGGGATGACATAATCCAGGTGCAGTTGGCCACCCGCAG